GTACGCTTCATTGGAAGCATCCCAAGCACAGCTCTCCACTTTCATTTTTTTCACCCTGCAGAAGGCACTGGAAGACACAGACGGAGGGGAGAAAACCTGCAGCTGTGAAGCCATGCCTGCGAATATTGAATAAATACGTTCGGCATTGATGAATACAGAAAGAACACAAAAGATGGCAATACTGATATCTCAACATGATTGAACGAACACAGTCAGATAATGAACAAATAATGCGTCAAATAAGTATTATAAACACTGACAAATCTAGCATTCAGTGAGAAAATCCTGCTGTGTTGATCAAATAACCAAATTTTAATATTAAATTAAATTCAGTAAGTTGTTTTTCTGGTGTTGACTGTTACTACAAGCACACTTAAAGTGAAGAAAAATATCTCTCTTCTTAAAACTTGCAAACAATTTCATTATAATTTGTAAAAGTGCAGACAAAACATGCACAAATTACTAATCTATCAAATAGAGCCTGTTATATTAATCTCATAGTTTTTATAAACATATGACAGAACTGGTGGGGACAGTTTTTTTATCCTTATGTCAGAATTCAAGATGTAATATTTTTTATCTTTGTCAGGTTTAAAGTATATTTTAATCTATATTAAGTATTGAGGTATAGTCTCAGAACAAGCAGTTCTGGGGGGGGAAACCAACTGCTTGGTTTAATAAACCAATTATTAAATGTAATAATTTACATTTATTATGTAAATTAATTACTATTAATTTACATAATAGTAAATTAATGTAATACATTTATTAATTTATAAAATAAACAGAAAAATCTGTGATAATTTTATAATGGAAATAAAGCTATCTACCTGTAAATTATCTGTAATGTCTTTAAATATAATATGAATAATTTTATTTTATAATGGAAATAAAGCTATCTACCTGTAAATTATCTGTAATCTCTTTAAATATAATATGAATAATTTTAGTGGAAATACTGCTAGTTGAAAAACTAAAAGGCAGGTCAAATTGTGACATGTTTCGTCTCGTATCTGAATTATCGATGCATTACATGCACACAGGGTCAGACAGGTAAAATAAAAACATTTTTATTATTCTTTTCGATTTTTAAAACTGGTGGTCATACTATCATCTGACTGGATTGAGGGTCTGTCTGTCTGAAAATGCTGACCCCCCTGATTCACAAAAGCACATTCAGAGAGACCGACTGCAAGCAGAACATCGACAGAGAGAAAAAAAACCACACAACTGAAATATCAAAGATTACCTACGAGCTACACAGTTGCTGGTCGTCGTGTCAAATACAGGAGTTTTAAAGCGATACCAAGCCGCTGTATGTTTACACCCATCAAACGACTCCACCCTTTTCGAGAAAACTGCGCTAATGTCGCGAAGCAAATAAAGGAACTACGAAATAAACGGGGAAACAATGAGCTGATTTTTGCTTTCTATATGAACATTAAATATATCGCAATCACTGAACGGAATGTCCTCGAATCTGCAGACGTCATAAGTTTGCTACATTGTATCATCTGTCGGCTACTAGGCAACCAATCGTTAGAGTTGGTGTTACAATATAACGCATCAAATATAATTAATTATTACAAAATAAAAAGCATTGTAACTCAGAATAAAAGGACAAATCAATGAGAAAATGAAACAAAAAAAAAAATCACCAGAGCTCAACAAAACTAACCCTCCTTTACAAATAAACAAATAAATGCAAACGCATTGTATGTCTACATTAGTTTAATTACACTTACGCGGATGTATATATACTGGATGTTTATTGCTATATTAATACCTTAGCGTGTTGTTGATCCTGGCGTCTGGGGCAGAGGAGAGCTTTAAATCCCTCGGATCTGGATTCTAGGCCTTCATTGTTACTGAGCAGCTCCGGCCCTGCAGTTAACTCGAAAATAAACAGCGATCGGTATAAAAATACAGCTCCATCAGTCGCTGTGAGGGGTGACCGGGCACGCTGCTCATAAAATCGTCGATTTCTGTCCTTGTACTAAAAAAGCCCCGTTTAAAATCCAGGCAGAAAGGGGCTGTTGTGCTCCCCAGAACATCCAAAGCCTGATTATCAGCTGCTTCAGTCAGGCTTCCGGTCCACAGGCTCAGGACTGCGCATGCGCACACGGCTTACGCGTGAGATCAGACGCCGCTGCTCAACGTGTTTCCCGTTACTATTGGAAACGCATATTGACGCACACGGCCTCGCTTCACGCTGTAATGGAAGATAGTAGACACCCGTGGCATTTTACAACGAATCACTAATCCAGTTATTTATTTGGATGTTCTTTAAACATGTTCATTTACATAATACCAATTTAATACGGAAATACTGATATAAAAATAGCGTACAAAACATCATTACCAGACATTATGTCTCTCTATATAAATATTACGTACATGCATGATGACATGAAAATGTACCTTCATATAATAGACTCTTGTCTGACTTTAGGCCAATGTGGTTTTATTGTGTTGACTTGTTTAGCCAGCAGCTATAAGAAAAATAAGATATTTTAATTTAGATGAAGTCATTTACAAGAGTTTAAACCACGTTTTTGAAGTCCACTTACATAACCAGTGCGATGAAAAAGAAAGAAAGAGAGATTTTTTGATTCAAAAGTATTTATAAATATATAAAACAGATATGAATGTAATCATACAGTTAAACCCCTTACCAAAACTTACTTTTTTACAAAAAAGTATTATCCAATTCTAAAAAAAATTTAAAAAATACAATTATTTTATTATAAAAATCTTATATTCATCGACTAGTATAAATAATGAATCATTTTGCAATCACATACTTATCTATGTCTGACTGTAGGGCTTTGCAAGGAATTTACAAGGAAACAAAACAAAAAAACGTTTCCGTTAAGCAAGACATGAGTGTTGGGAAATTATTCTGAAAGCAGAATTTGGCATGGCGTGACTGTTATGAAAGAGCAAAGACCTGAATTAAAAATAAACAGGATGAGAACGATCTGTGACACAGATAATGAGGGGCTAAACAGAAACACTGTTGGCAGTTAATTCTTCATTTTAACTGGTCTGGCCCATCAATCAAGAACATAACAAAAGCTGGTTTTCTCCTCTGCCATGTCACAGAAGAGAAGACACTGGCCGTTCCATTTCAAAGTGCCTTTCACTCAAAGCGAACTTCAGAAAACCATGCTTTATCATAGCACTACCCCAAGGTTGTGTCATGTTTTTTAGTGTTCTGAAGAGTTCACTTTGGTTAACAGAAAGAGCTTTCAGGTCACTATAGTCAGTTCTCAGTCCTGGCCTACAGGTGCATCTCAATAAATTAGAATGTCGTGGAAAAGTTCATTTATTTCAGTAATTCAACTCAAATTGTGAAACCAATTTGAGTTGAATTACTGAAATAAATGAACTTTTCCACGACATTCTAATTTATTGAGATGCACCTGTAAACATACAAAATAATAAAAGAATGAATAGAGATTGGACTAAACTGCAACGTTTCTTGGGGAATGGAATAGTTTTGCGAGAGAACGCATGTTTTTCTAAAGAAGCCAAGTTTCTCAGGGAACGAGACATTTTTTTACAAGGCAATGCAAAGTTTCACAGGGGAACGGAAACGTTTTGCGATAGAACGCAAAGTTTTTCCGTTGAACTAAACAGTTTTGCGAGAGAAACATAGTTTTCTAAAGCAGCAAAGTTTCTCGGGGGGAACGCAACACGTTTTTTTAATGAGAAAACGCAAAGTTTCACAAGGGAACGCAAATGTTTTGCTAGAGAACGCAAAGTTTCTCCATTGAACGAAATAGTTTTGCGAGAGAATGCACATTTTTCTAAAGAAAACAAGGTTTCTTGGGGGAACGAAACACTTTTTTTTTTTACGAGAAAATGGAATAGTTTTGCAAGAGAACACCGAAGTTTCCTGGTTTGAACAGAATAGTTTTGCTAGAGGACGCATATGTTTTTCTAAAGAAAGCTAATTTTCTTAGGGAGGAACTCAACAATTTTGTGAGAAAACACATTTTCTCAGGGGAACATAATAGGTAATAATTATAATACATTTGACAGGATGTGCTGTTCTATTTTGTGTTATAATGATACATATGAATAAAAGACACTTTTTACGTAACGTATTACAATGCACTTAAATGCATCCCATACTCACCTCTTGAGTGAATTCAGAACAGATGAAGGGGTGAAGAGTGTGTGTGTCCAGTCTCAGGTGAATATCTGTAAATGGCTCAGTTTCATGTGTGAACCTGCTTTCAGTAAATTCTGAAAAGTCCTGCAGTCACAAGTTAACGTAGTGACTTAAGAGAAAGGGAAAATGAAGGTAACATAATTTCTGTCTGCTGTCACTTTTGATTTAATAAGGAGTGGTAGTAAGCTAACATTTTCCTTACTTTTTATCAGAGGCAAGGCTTGCCATATGAAAATATACCAAATATTATTGCTTTTTTAGGGAAAAAAAAACTTAAATATGCACACATTTGCACATAAAAAAAAAAAACGTGATTTAGATTACACATAAAATGTCACTTATTTGATTGTCTGAAGTTTTTTTATTTTATTTTTGACAACATATTTAATGACACACTTTATCCTTGTAAATATGCTTATGTCTAATACCAAAAGCCTTTCAAAAACCCTTCTGACAATAACCGGTAATTTTCTAGGTTAAACCAACCATCATTTTAGGAAGCAAAATCTCAAATGAGGGGTCCCTACCTATTATAAAACAAGACAGCATTTGCTATATAAGCAAAATGTCCTGCCCCAACTTACGACAACATGGGAAAGAAAATGAAATGGCTCAAGCCATTGAATGGGGTCTTTAAAATTAGGCCATTGAAAGGTCCAAAAATTGAACTTTTGAATAAAGTTGAAAAAATTAGATGGTCAAATTCTAAAAATTGATAATCAAAAATTCAATTTCTTCCTTGAACATTATTTTGGATGTTTTCTCACATTTTGATGGTTGAAGTCGCAAAGTTGTTGCAGAAAGTAATATTTCTAAAACCAAAATCACTGCCAGTGTATATTCAAATTGTTGATATCAAAATCTAAGTTATCCTTCAAGAACATAATTATTGAACTATTTGATCCAGTCCTGTGTAGCTTAAGCTCACTAGATGTCACTCTCCTCATAGATGAATTACAGAATGGTGCCATGTGAATTAGACTTTTTATTCACATAGTTAAAATTCACAGATCAAGAATTCTGAATAAATCTCTCTTTAATTATGGGAAGCAAATCCTGGAAACCAAACCCTGGGAATCAAAGCTGCTTAACTCTGCCCAGATCACACAAGGGATGACAACTTTTAAAATAACATAAAAGAACTATAAAAACTTAGGCTTAGGAAAGGACCAAATCTAAAAACCAATCAATCCATGTTGTTAAAACCGAACACCATCCCCAAGTTCTTCTTTAAATATTGCCATATATTATTCTTTGAGATGAGTAGAATCTTCATCACAGTCCTTCATGTCCTGCTAGAGTCTCTGAGGGCGTCTGGTTTAAGCAGGACAGCTGGTTAGTGTTTTGGAGGCGTGTAAAGCCATGTGCGGAAACTCCCGAAAGATGACAGTGCACGTGGTGATGCCTGCAAAGTGAAACAAGTTAGCAGACTTCAAGTATACACCAGTCAAGTCCCTGTTCTGTTGCTATTGCCCTGCAGGAACACCAGGACGTGACTTATTATTATTGTAATAATAGAATATATTGTAATGTAGTGTAATATAATTTCATATGATATCCCAGCACACTGCAAAACTTCCCCATAATAATAATAATAAATAAATAAAAATCAGTAATTGGGCAGTTGACATGAGATGTTGAGAAGTGACAGTAGTTTTGCGATGTGACATATCATACTTAATCTAAAATTATTTTTTACAATTTTTATAAATGGATTTTATGTCCTTAGATTATGAGACTATATGGAATATTTATATTTAAAGTAAAAATCAGCACACATAACTATTTGAGAAAACATATTTAAATATAGTGAACATTTGAAAAGAAATAGTGTCCAGTAACAGAATTTAAAATATACAATGTAACTTACACAATTATTATTAGTCATAAGTGCAATGTGTGTAATATAGAATATACATACAGAACCATGCAACAGTTTGGGGACAGTATTTTTTTTTAAAGAAATGAATACTTGCAATTAATTAATACTTGATGCATTAAATTTGCATCTAAAGTTTTCTAATTCTATCAAATAAATCCTTTTTTTTTTATTACTTTGTTAATCATAGAATCTGAAAAAAAAGGTTTTAAACATTGATAATAACAATAAATGTTTATTGAGCAGCAAATCAGCATATTAGAATGATTCTGAAGGATC